TTGGACATACAGTACAGAGGAGAGGTAACAGAGTCATGTGGCAGAACATAGATTAATAGAAGCAGGTTAATTTGAGTTATAAAAGCTAGTTGGGGAAAAAACCTGAGATGGAGGCCAAGCTTTCATAATTAATAATAAGTCTCCATGTCATTATTTGCAGGCTGGCAGTCTAAGAAATTCGGATGAGAAAGCTTACTGCAATGGGGGTTTGAAAGAAAATGGCCCCCAAAGGGAATAGCACTATTAGGAGGCGTGGCCTTGTTGGAGTAGGTGTGGCCTTGTTGGAGTAGGCGTGGCCTTGTTGGAGTAGGCGTGGCCTTGTTGGAGAAGTGCATTACTGTGGAGGTGGACTTTGAGGTCTCCTATGCTCAAGCTACTCCCAGTGTCACAGTCTACTTCCTGTTGCCTGAATAGCAACATGTAGCAGCTCCTTCTCCAGCACCATGATGATAATGGTCTAAACCTCTGAAACGGTAAGCCAGCCCCAGTTAAATATTTTCCTTTATAAGAGTTGCCATGTTCATGGTGTCTCTGCACAGCGACAGAAGCCCTAACTGAGGTATTGTTGTGATAGGCCTGACCATGGTTTTGTTTGAAGGAATTTGGACCTTGGTACTGTGGATTAGAAAAGCAGCTGAACCCTTGAAGTGCTACTTAATGGGCCGCGTTAGGATGAGCATGGACGAGAGTGGTGAGTGTGATTTGATGAACAGTGGGGGCCTGACTCAAGAGGTTTCAGAGGAGAAGAATTTTAATATGTTGCCTAGAGATTGTTCTTGTGGTATTTGGGTGAAGTGTGGCTGTTTTTTGCCCTTGTCCAAAGAGTCTGCCTGAGGCTAAAGTGAAGAGTTTTGGATTAATTCTGTTGGCAGAGGAAATCTCAAAACAGCCTAGTATAGACTGTTGTGTGGTTATCAGTGATAACTCTAATGAATTTTTAATAAAAAGGAGAAAGCTGAGCAAATAAAATACAAAGGGAGTGGAACAGAGCTAAATCCTGTGTTCAAGGAGATAAACGGATTAAGAAATGGAATAAAGGGAGTAGTGACCTCAGGGCAAGACCCCATCCAGGGCCGGGAGATGGTGGCACAAGCCTTCAATCCCAACACTCAGGAGGCAGAGGCAGGTGGATCTCTGTGAGTTCAAGGCCAGCCTGTTCTACAGAGTGAGTTGCAGGAAAGGCGCAAAGCTACACAGAGAAACCCTGTTTCAAAAAACAAAACAAAAACAAACAAACAAACAAAAAGATCCTACCCAGCAAAGTTTCCAACCTGTGAAAAGGAATTAAAGAAAAAGTTAGAGCCAGGTGTGGTGGGGCATACCTTTACTACCAGCACTCCTGAGGCAGAGGCTGGTGGATCTCTGAGTTTGAGGCCAGCCTGGTCTACAGATCCAGCCAGTTTCAGGACAGCCAAGCTTAGACAGTGAAGGAAACCATGAAAAACAGAAAGCTCATGAAGATGTAATTGAACAAGGGGGTCATGTAACTTGACAGCTTTGGCCACATGGTTCTGGAGTTAAAGATAGAAGGGGCTATGGAATTTGCCTCTGCAACAAAGGAAAGCCGCTGAGACTAGGCATCTGTCAGGGGTGTCCCTGAATGAAGACCTAGAGAGGCCATTGCATGAAACTGTGAAGGTGAAGCCTGGATTGCCTTGAAGATCCCAAGATGTTGGACATGCCTGAGCTATGGGATACCTGTCAAGAAGAGCTGCTAACAGGAAGTGGGTCCAGCCCAAGAGAAAGAAGTGTGTTACAGTCAACAAAGCTGAAAGGAATTGGAGATCTGAAGAGCGTTTTGACATCAGACATGGAGATGCAGAGTTTGGAGTTTGCCCGGCTGGTTTTCAGTCTTGCTTTGGTCCAATATTTCCTCACTGTGCTCCCTTACCTATGTTTTGGAATGGTAATGTATATCCTATGCCATTATATGTTGGAAGTATGTGATCTGTTTTTTGGGTTTTGTTTTGTTTTGTTTTTTTGTTTTTGTTTTTGGTTTTACAAGGGGTTACAGTTCAGAGATTGCATGAATCTCAGAAGAGACTTTGAACTTTAGACTTTAAAATAAGTTTGAGACTGTTATAGACTATGGGGAGTTTTGAAGTTAGACTGAATGCATTTTTGCATTATGATATGGCTATCAGCCTTTGGGAGTCAGAAAGTAGAATGTGGTGGTTTGAAAGAAAATGGCCCCCAAAGGGAGTGGCACTATTAGGAGGTGAGGCTTTGTTGAAGTAGGTGTGGCCTTGTTGGAGGAAGTGTGTCACTGTGGGGGCGGGCTTTGAGGTCTCTTTGGTGTCTCAGTCTACTTCTTGTTGCCTACATATCAACATATAACAACTTCTTCTCCAGCACCGTGTCTGCCTGCACACCACTCGCCATGATGATAATGGACTGAACCTCTGAACTGTAAGCCACCACCTCAGTGAAATGTTTTCCTTTTTAAGAGTTGCCATGGTCATGGTATTTCTTCACAGCAATAGAAACCCTCACTAAGACAACATCCATCTTATTTTATGTGGGTTCCGGGTGTGGAACTCAGGTTCTCATGATTTTAAGGCTATCTCCCCAGACCATTTGTCTGTGACATGGTCTCATGAAGTCCAGGCTGGCCTCGAACAGGCTATGTATCCCAGGATGGCCTTTAACTCCTACTCTTTCTGCCTTGTGTCGCCAAGCCTGGCTTAGCCTTCCTGTTTTGATGCCCCAGCAAGAGCAAGGAATTTAAAGTACCTCTCTTCCCTCTTGAAGACTGGCCTTTAAGACCATCATCTAGCTGTGGATTCCAAGGGCCTGCCCTGAAATAGCACAGTTGACCAGCCACAGTCTGTCTTCTCCCCCCCTTCCCCCCCCCCCCGGGGGGGGGCACCTCTCCTTCCCTGAGCCTACAAGCCTTCCGGCACATTGTTGGCAAGCTGCAGGAGTTTATGATTTAAGGAGGAAATAAAAACTCAGATTTAATAGCTCCAAAGTATAATCCCCACTACATACACAACCGAGTGGTAGGGCCGGGGATGAGCTATTCCGGGCTTCTGGAGCTGGCGACATGTACTCAGGCATCCCAGCTCTCTGCTGGGTTTGTGGACCAAAGCTCAACCAAGTGCAGCTGCCTGAGCACAGGAGCTCGGACTAGCAAGGGGAAAATGGCTTCCGTTCTCACTGCTACACTTGCCCTCTGGGACAGGAACAAACCCAGAATTAATTGGACACTACTGCTGCCACCAAGTGACCAAAGACAGAGACCCTCTGGTAAGAGACCAACGTCAAACCATGGTGGCCCACCCAAGAGGAGAAATAGGCCTCCACGGCCTGGCAAAGAATGTGGCCAGCTCTATGTTGGGCTCAGGAGTTTCAGAACCCTCTAGCCCAGGGGCTCGCAACTTTCCTAATGCTGTGACCCTTTAATACAGTTCCTCATGTTGTGGTGACCGCCCCCCCATTATAAAATTATTTTCATTGCTACTTCATAGCTGCAATTTGGCTACTGTTATGAATCCTAATGTAAATATCTGACATTTGCAATGGTCTTAGGTGACCCCTGTGAAAAGGTCACGCAATGGCCAGGGGTCGCGACCCACAGGTTGAGAACCACTGCTCCAGCTCATCCCAGGGAAGATGAGGAGCCCTGGAGGTACCTCTTCTCCAAAGCCAAAAGGTGGGTCCTCCAGTCCAGCTAGGACAGCAGACAACAGATATTATTCTAGCATGGATGAGCTCATCAAGTTCACAGTAAGAACTGCTTAGAATGAAGCCCTGCAGCCAGGTGCAGTGGGGCACGCCTTTAATCCCAGCACTTGGAAGGCAGAAGCAGGCAGATCTCGAGGCCAGCCCTGGTCTACAGAGAAACCTTGTCTGAAAAAAACAAAAAGAAAAAGAAAAGAAAAGAAAAATTTAAAATTGCCTCAGGATGTGTGACTTAGCACTGTTTTTCTCTTAGAGTCTGTAAGTGGCACTGGCTTTTCCGCCCTACAGAGCTCGGAACTGGAGACATAACTCAGGTCATAGAGTGCTTGCCTAGCATGCAGGAAGCCCTGGGTTCAATCTCCAGCACGTCATAAACTAGGCTAAGTGGCACACGCCTCTAATCCCAACATTTGGAGAGAGAGAGAGAGAGAGAGGGAGAGACAGAGGGAGAGGGAGAGGGAGAGGGAGAGAGAGAGAGAGAGAGAGAGAGAGAGAGAGAGAGAGAGAGAGGAGAAACGACCA